ACCCCTTCTACTGCTGCATCACTCGACTACTTTCACCTGACTGGCTCCCCTAAAAAAAAAATCTCGTGTATTTGTATTAGATGAATTCCCCAGTGGACGAAACTTCTCTCAAAGATACTCAGGTGTTGCACATGGGGTCTTATTCATACATAAGTGTCGTTGGAGTTTCCTAAAACTAAAATGTGCAGACACTGGTTGTGGCTTTGATCTATAAGGGTTCGTACTTAATTCTTACAGTAAGTTCACATTGTATTTGACTTCTTAAATAATGTAGACATTAAATTTCTATATCCAGACAAAAATTATCCTTAATCACCATAAATTGTCTGATATATATATTAATATATATATATATATATATATATATATATATATATATATATATATATATATATATATATATATATATATCCTTAAACTTTTCCGTTATCAAAGCAATATAAACCGTGTGTCTAGTAAATAATACAGTTTTTTTTTAAGATTATGGACAATTAAAGTTTTTTTTCTTGATTACCCTTAATGTTTAAATGTTGTTGTACTAAGTGTGATTTAAAGGAGTGTATTGTGTTCACAGCTCAGAAGGAAGGCGGGACACAGCTTAAACTCATCATTGAGTTCATCGACGGTGGACATGCACTCTTCAAGCCCATGAGGTGAGTGTGACTGAATAAGTGTGTGGGGTGAGTGGGGCTACGGCTGCTTTCCTGCCTGCCGGTTCGCACACGCACTCTGTGCCTTTGGTGGCTCCGTAGTCGTGGGAAGCAACTTGGGAGTGGAGAACAAGCTGTCTTCACTTACTGGTGAACTCTAGTTTGAGTGCCTTTGTAGCGTTGCTTCCATTACCACACTGCCATCACAGAACTGCTGCCAATACCTTGCTAGACCGGAAAAAGAATGGACACAAATGCAGTATAATGCGATCTTTTATTGACTGCATTTTGCCCCGTGGATTTTATCAAGTCACAAACAGATCTGATAAAACCAATTGGTCCATATTTGCAAATTCCCTAGGCATAGTGCCGACACTTTTTTTTTTTTGTATGGCCTTTTTTTGTATCCACTGTGTGGGCGAAACGTAGTCATTAAAGGGCTTGCATTATACTGCATTTATGTCTATCTTTCCATCCTGTAGGAATTTGAAACCAGCTATCTCCACCTTTCTCGACTACGAAGAACATAGCCTCCATCATCACCATACCACACTCCAATCACAAGGGCATAACCACCAGTCTTACACTTTCATCAAATTTTGTCGCTTGATCACCGTCCTCAGTGGCATCACAAATTGATGAACTGGGGACGAAATCCCCCCCCCCCGGTATGCTGACAGTTTCATCAATATCTTGTCACATATTGAAGTGGTAATCATGGAGTTGCAGATAATTTATCACGGTCGTCATACTTGTCTTGAAGCTCGCTCATTATCGCGGAAAATTTTGTACTTGTGTTTTTAAGTTTAGCTCAAGCTTTAAAATTCATATTTTAAGCTTAACTCAAGCTTACTGAGTGGCCTCCAGAGCAGCGTCACGCTGCTTACTGAGTGGCCTCCAGAGCAGCGTCGCGCTGCTCACTGAGTGGCCTCCAGAGCAGCGTCATGCTGCTCACTGAGTGGCCTCCAGAGCAGCGTTGCGCGCTTACTGAGTGGCCTCCAGAGCAGCGTCGCGCTGCTCACTGAGTGGCCTCCAGAGCAGCGTCGCGCTGCTCACTGAGTGGCCTCCAGAGCAGCGTCGCGCTGCTCACTGAGTGGCCTCCAGAGCAGCGGTCACTCGCAGCGCGTGTACTGAGTGGCCTCCAGAGCAGCGTCACGCTGCTTACTGAGTGGCCTCCAGAGCAGCGTCACGCTGCTCACTGAGTGGCCTCCAGAGCAGCGTCACGCTGCTCACTGTCCTCCAGAGCAGCGTCGCGCTGCTCACTGAGTGGCCTCCAGAGCAGCGTCACGCTGCTTACTGAGTGGCCTCCCGAGCAGCGTCACGCTGCTCACTGAGTGTCCTCCAGAGCAGCGTCGCGCTGCTCACTGAGTGGCCTCCAGAGCAGCGTCACGCTTCTTACTGAGTGGCCTCCAGAGCAGCGCCACGCTGCTCACTGAGTGGCCTCCTATACAAATTTAACATTTTCATAACACTCATCTAGTGTTTCCTTTTTAAACTGTCAAAAAAACTCGAAGCCCATTCATACGATATTTGGTACATTAATTTAATTCATCGTGACAGTTTAATTTTATCCTCTGGTGAATAATATGTAAGAAAAACTTTAACTCTGGGAAACCAGTTTTGTCTTCCAAATCATATATAACTTTCATCCTCCAGAACTTTTGACTCTTAGAATTTTAAATCGGCGATTTGGAGTGAAAATACTCTGTGCACTGTATTTGTAGTGAAGGAACTCAGTATCTTGGTACATTTGTAGTGAAGGAACTCAGTATTTGGTGCATTTGTAGTGAAGGAACTCAGTACTTGGTACATTTGTAGTGAAGGAACTCAGTACTTGGTACATTTGTAGTGAAGGAACTCAGTACTTGGTACATTTGTAGTGAAGGAACTCAGTACTTGGTACATTTGTAGTGAAGGAACTCAGTATTGGTACATTTGTAGTAAAGGAACTCAGTACTTGGTACATTTGTAGTGAAGGAACTCGTACTAGGTACATTTGTAGTGAAGGAAACTCAGTACTAGGTACATTTGTAGTGAAGGAACTCGGTACTAGGTACATTTGTAGTGAAGAACTCAGTACTGGTACATTTGTAGTGAAGGAACTCGACTTGTACATTGTAGTGAAGGGATCAGTACTGTAATTTGTAGTGAAGGAACTCAGTACTTGGTACATTTGTAGTAAAGGAACTCAGTACTTGGTACATTTGTAGTGAAGGAACTCAGTACTAGGTACATTTGTAGTGAAGGAACTCAGTACTAGGTACATTTGTAGTGAAGGAACTCAGTACTAGGTACATTTGTAGTGAAGGAACTTAGTACTAGGTACATTTCCTACAAAAAACATATAATCAAGGTCGTCGTCCTCCAGTTTTCTGTACAGCCGCTTAATAAATCACATTTAAGTTTAATGAAGTAGTCAGGCAACAATAAACTTTCATCATTACTGAGATCTAAAGTTCAAGGTTGTTTCGGGGATCTTGTCAGTAAAGGATCTAAATAAAAGTATTAAGGTCAGGGATCAACACTGGGAAAAATTCAAAATATTTTGTGTTTGTGATTGCAAAAGTTTGCTAAATTATCTCGGTGCTTCTGTTTACCCAAGGCTTCTGCAGTTGGACATAATCTTTTTGCATGGGTCAAGACTTCGCTCCTGGTCTCTCTTCATAGAGTACAGTGGACCCCCGGTTAACGAACTTTTTTCATTCCAGTAGTATGTTCAGGTGCCAGTACTGACCGAATTTTTTCCCATAAGGAATATTGTGAAGTAGATTAGTCCATTTCAGACCCCCAAACATACACGTACAAACGCACTTACATAAATACACTTACATAATTGGTCGCATTTGGAGGTGATCGTTAAGCGGGGGTCCACTGTATTTTGATCGACATCACTGATTTCTGGCGTTTTGGGCCATGTCTCTGCTCTCAAAGCTGTGTATTATTGAGTTTGCCTACGCCACTGCCTCATCCAGTTTATTCCACTTTTCTCCCATCCAGAGACTAAAGAAATACTTCATTAAATCCCTGTTGCTCATCTGTGTCTTTATCTTTCACCTTTCACCTGTCGTCCCCTTGATCCTAATCCTCTTAATTCAAACGATTTGTCCCTATTTGCTCTGTCAATTCCTTATAAAATTTAGCATATCCTAATCATGTCTTCCCTTGTCCTTCTCTCTGCCAAGGTTGCCACGTTCACTTCCTTCAGCTTCTCATAGTATCTACTGTAGTGTTCCGCTTGTATGCTCTACTGACCACCGTTTCCCCCCCCCCCCTCCTTCATACCCTCCTCCATAGTGCCCCACTACCCTCTCTTTTTCCTCCTTTCCCCGAAGGTGTCCCGTTGCCCTCTCAAGTTCCCTCCCAAAAATGCTCTTCATTCCTCCCACTCCAAATCCGAGGCGTCCTATTGACCAATTCTCTTCTCCCCTGTTGCTCCTCCTTCAGGTTCCCCCGCGAGCAGCAGACTCTCAAGAACCATTTCTACTTCACTGACTTCGAGCGACACAACGCGGAGATCGCCGCCTTCCACCTGGACAGGTTGGTACCCAGGTTAAGAAGAGGACAAGTTAACGAGTTATATTTTTTTAATTATATTCAAGGGTGGAGCGTTATGACCCGTAGGGGTCACACAGAGCCTGATGGGGGGAATGGGACGTATTCAGGTTCGATCAAAGGAAGGGGGGAAGCATAGGTCCAATTCGTTGGAACAAGAGTCTCCCTTCCCCTCACCGGCATCAAGAAACCCACCTTGAGAGATGATGTGCAGGCAGAGATATAGGGAGATAGTGCGGGAGTGCAGGCCGAGGGAGGTGCAGGCAGAGTGAAGTATAATAACGAGGCTTATTACCAGGAAGTTGAAATAAGGAAGCTAGTAATTTTTTTAATAAATCTGAATACAACAGCGGCGCAGTATCTAGGGAAAAGAATTGAGAAACTGGGTGAAATCACAACGCATTAGAGAGGCGAAAAGCTAAATTAAAATCTGGAAGGCGTCTCGGAGCATGACAGCCCGACTTAGAGGAAGTTCATTATTCAGTCTGGAGAAAGATCTGTTTACTATCTGGTTTTCTGAAATACATACTTTCAGGGCAAATTACCTATAACTTAGTTCACGCCTTGTTCAATTTTATTTAATAAATATTACAGCTCTTGGGAAACCAATCATCTTTCTATAACTATCATTACCTTGGCTAGATTTCACCTAGTGGCCGAAGAATGTCTGTATCCAGGATGTTTGTTCGGTAAAGTTAATGATGTTTGAAGATGGAGTACGAGAAGTGTGATCTTGCTTGCCAGGATGTTGGGATTCCGGCGAGCGGTGCCTATCGTGGGTCGCAACGTCAACATAACCCAGGAACTGTACGCGCTGGCACAGGGCGACCTGCTCAAAACCTTTTTCATCTCTCCCGATAACAACCTCTGCTTCCATGGCAAGTGTAGGTGAGTAACCAACCATCTGACAGCCTCTTCTTCCACGGCAGTTGTAGATGAATTGACTACTGTTTGACAGCCTCTAGTTCTCGGCGTGTAGGCGAGCTGAGCACTCTTTACCAAGTCATGTCCAGGTAAGTCTTGCACCGGTTGCCTCTCGCTTGCATTCAACAACTTGCACAGACGTAATTGGCTAACTTCTTCCAAGTAAAGTACGCAGATGTTCTCCTTGTCACTCTCAGCTCCGTCAGTCTGTCAGTCAGTCAATGGGCCACGGGGAACGCCGATAAGTAGCCTCGAGTCTGGACAAGCAAGAAATCAAGATATAAAGTATTTGAGGAGCTCAACAAATCATTTGTTTTGCCTCCGCTCGTCAGTGTTTCAGAATGTGGCCACAAGTTGGTTAGTTTACTGGGTTCAAAGTTTAGCAACTACACGAGGATCATTAAGGCTGCATGTAACCTAGACAACAGCCAGGAATACTTTAATTCCTAAAACAGATATAAATTAGACTTCCAACATACATTATGCATAATGAAAGATGTATCCTTGTCGGTATATATACCCTTGTGGCCACAGATATCTAGCAGTGTTCTTTATAGTATTTTTTTTAGTTATCGCTGCCTCTGGCATATAATAATAATAATAATGAATAATCTTGGTAAAAAGAGTGTAATGTGCGGTGTATTAGAATAAATACTCACTTTTTGCAGACTAACATTAGTATGTATTCAGAGTAAGTAGTGTTAGTGTAGTGTACTGTAGCGTGGCTGCCCTTGCAGCTACTACTGCGACACCGCCCACGCCATCTGCGGCAATCCCGACATGCTAGAGGGATCCTTCGCCATCTTCCTGCCGGGAAAAGAGGCGGCTCCCCGCAAGGTGTGGCGTCACCCGTGGCGCAGAAGCTATCACAAGCGACGCAAGGCGCAGTGGGAAGTTGGTAAGTATACTACTCCTCTTCAACTTTTCCTATCCTTGTTCAGAATACTTTACAGGATATATCCAGAAATGCTCGTAGGTGAATTATTATATTGAAGGAAGCGCTCAGTCTCTAGGGGTTCACATTACATCTGGAAATTGAAAGTCAGTCCTGTTGTATCGTAGGAGGAGGGTAACTCAAACTGCTCGGCTAGAGAGTCCTCTACCGGGATCAAGGCGCCATTCTCCATGAAGGGAATTAGGGCTTGAACATTGCAATATTAATTGCATCCTGCGGATTAGCCTAATTAGCAGAGGCACAACTGCAGATAGAAATTGTTTGTGCCATTACGATTATCAGTCACAGATATGTTCACAATAGTCTTAGGTCAGTTTTATATTTACTAATGTAGAGACTTTATGTAATCTTATCTAACGAAGGAAATGTTAGATCAGCAGACATTAAACTTAGCTTTGTACAATATGCAGATTAGTTTAATAATATAGTAACTTGGGGTATAAGCTAGACACAAAATGCTAAACCTTAGCGACTTATGTAGCGAAAAAATTCTCCCAGTGGAGAGTTGAGCAGCAAGTTACCCAGTGCGGGGAACACACACTGTTACTGGCGACGACCATCTTAGAGAGGACTGCTGATACAACTTAATGTGAGCTTTGTTTCAGACATTTTCTTCTATGAAGCTTTCTTGCTCCTTTCAGACGACGATTACTGTGATCTCGTGAAGGAGGTCCACCCGTATAATGAAGGGAGGCGACTTTTGGACATCATGGATATGTCGGTTCTCGACTTCCTCATGGGAAACATGGACCGACATCATTACGAAACGTTTAAGGTAAAAACTCACTGTTACGGGGTCCACGGCGCCGGAATGATAGGCAGTCAGGCCCACCCCCGGGGAGGGAAGAATAGGTCCATTCCTCGCCTTCCTCACTGGCATTAACCTAACTCTTGAAGGGTACATTTATGTTGATTTTTTAGCTTTTAACATTGTTAAAATTATTATTAACAAGCTCAAACACTGGAGTAAACTTGCGTTGGGATTAATATTAATGATGAATATTAAAATGGTATAAAATACCGACAGGTTGTTAGGTAAGGTACATATGCAACAGCCTACTGTATAGGCGAAACGTTTCGAAATAGAGATACCTAACTGTTGCATATGTGTCTTACCTAACAATGTTAATGATATCCAGCGATGCAGCAGTTTTACATGATTTGCTGCGTCGATCTCATTAGGCGAATGAAATGGTGTTTATATCAAGGATAGAATATACTGAGAGGTATGTTAATAAGACAAGGTGCGGTTTATGGCGTTTTACTGCGAGAACGTTTTGTCCACCAGAGACAATCACTTTATAAAGTCCTTAGTGGATGAAAGTGCAGTCAACCGTATATTGTCTTATCAATATTAGAGTATTGCTGACAACTATGAAGACAGTTTGCAGAACAAGCTTATATGAGGAGAAATTTTGCTCTTGGTAGAGCCTGATAAAATTCAACACAAAACGAAGCTCCCAGTAGACACTTGTTCTGTAACTTGTCTTCATACTCTCCTGAAGCTTTACGACAGACGTAAAAAATTCATGATTTCGTCGATTTCTTTTCATTTGTAGATGTTTGGGAACAACTCTGCCCCACTGCATCTGGACCATGGTCGAGGGTTTGGTAAACCCTTCCACGACGAGGTGTCTATCTTGGCGCCCGTCTACCAGTGCTGTTTGATCCGACACTCTACTCTCGCCTCTTTATTAAGGTGCGTCTGCAGGGCGGATGTGCGTAGCCACACAGCCCATACTCTTAACATCGTCTGTGTATCTAACTGAAAAAACGTCTCCATACGTCCTAGTACTGTTTACATGCATCATCATCTTAACTCACCAGCAACTGTGTTCAAATTTCGTGCATGATGCAGCATTTATTGTACCGTGTTAAATCGGTAGCTATAATTTTGCTTCGAAAGCGTAGAATTGGCTTTGTATTCACTGTGCTATGTAGAGTTTATTTACATCAAGATGATAAGTTTGTGTACCAGTAGTTTTATAGGTGAAGCTAAATTGTTTTACTTTCTTATAATTGAGAACATTAAATGAGAAAATTCAAAACATTTAATTTGAAAGCACTCGGCTTGAGCACATGATCCGAGGTTCACTTCTCTCAACTTTAATGATCTCAAGTAAAATTATTTTTTACTTTGTTCCCTTGTGTCTAGCGTCTGAATATACAATATCTGAGTGGTACCTACAGTGAGAATCAAAGGTGGATGGGGCACAAGGAGATCATCAGTGGGTAAGAGTGGATGAAAGTGAATAAATTCAAGGAGATAGGCTGAAACATAAGCAGCTGTTGGGAAAAAGGGGGACTAAGGAGAATCGAGATAATAACTAGGGAAAGGGGTCGAAGAGGTATGAGGTACATTTAAGAATTCAATATTAGTGTGTGTAGCAGGAGCGAGTAGTGGAAATAGTGGAAAATGAAGTAAGCTGATAAAACGTTTTGCAATGTAGACGTGATACACAGAGGACAGTGTATGGAGAGTGAGTTTAGAAGTGTGAGGGAATGCAGAAAGAGAGCTTGTGAGAGAGTAGGTTAGGTTTTTCAACAGATTTTGCTGGGACTAATGTGAGATTAAATAGGTTGAGATTAATAAGTTGAGAAAGCCTAGGAAAGAAATGGATTTAGCATTAAAAATAAGATATTTGATGGGAAGATGGAGAGAATATTTTGAGATGTTAAACGTTGTTGGAGAAAGTGAGGCAGTGGTTTCATATGTTGTGCAGGGAGCTTTAACATCACGTAGGAGTAAGGAAGAACCAGATGCGAGTGTAAAGTGTGTGATACTGGGAGTAAGAGGGAAGTGTTAAACGCAGGTGAAGATTTAGAGTAAGGGTAGATGATTTTTTTCAGTATATGGATGAAAGAAGTAAAAGTATCTAAGGAGTGATATAAAGGAAAAAAGAGTGTGCAAAAATTATATGGTAATAAAAATCAGACAGAAAATATAATTACAGAGGAACAAGGAAAGGTAGTGGATGTGTAGGTCAAATGTTTACAGTGAAACGTGCAAATGAACAATACTTAAAGGAAAACAACTTTTTGTCGCATTTATGAATTTAGAAAAGGCATGTGATAGGGTGGATAAGAGAACAATGTGGTACGTGTTGCAAATGTATGGAACAAGTTTTCAATAGCAGTTTAGTTTTTCTCCAGATAATTAGGGTGTGTGGGGGAGAGGAGGATTATTCTCCAGTAAACTAGGCTTTAGACAGGGATATGTGATGCCACTATGGCTCTTTAATATACATTTTAGATGGGGTTGTAAAAAGCGAATGCTAAGGTTGTGGGGAGAGGTGTTGGATTAAAGGTAACTAATTAGATTTAAAGTGGGAGTTGTCATAGTTGCTGTTTGCCGATGACACTGTTCTCTTGGGAGGGAATGTAGAAGAACGCAATTAAAAGTGAAAATAGGAAATAGCAAGGTGATAAGGGTAACCAAAAAAAAAAAAATCTAGACAATGCAAGATTGGATATTAGATTTGAGAGGAGTATGGAAGACGTAAATGTGATCAGATATTTATAAGTGGACCTGTCAGTGGATGGATGTATTAGAGATAAGAATAAAAGGTTCAGTATTTAGGCATCTATGGAGAAAACAAACTGTCGATGGAGAAAAAAAATGGAAAATGAACAAAGGTGTAGTGATATCAACACTTGCCTGGGTGTGAACCATGGATTTTTTATACATTTTTATCAAGGAGGTTGGTGGCAGTGGAGACGTGTTGTGTGAAGACGATGCAGAGAATTAGGATGGAGCAAAATAGGATGAATAGGAGAATATATAAATTTCATTTGGAATGAAGGAGAGGTGGGGGTCTTCCCAAGATGGGTTGGAGGGAGGCAACGAGTGCTGTTATTATAATAAAAAAGAAGCGCTAAACCTCCAAGGGTCATACAGCAGCATTGAGTGCTAGCTTGAGTATCCAGCAGACTTTTTGCAAGTGCTTTAAATTGGAGTGGAGGTAAATAGTTTTTTTGTAACTTGACGTGTTGGAGTGCAAGCAAAGTAACATTTATGAAGGGATTCAGGGAAACCAGTTAGCCGGATTTGTATTCTTGGAGGTGAGAAGCACACTGCCTGCAGTCTGAAGGAGAGGTGAGGATGTCCTAGTATGGAGGGCCATCTGAACAATGATGTCCTCACGCTTCTGGCATAATAGCGATTGAATGAGTGACGGTGAATTTGTGTACTGTCTTCCGGTGTGCTAAAAAAAATATTACCCAATATCCACTTCACCAAAACCATCATATGCATATCTGTACTTGTCAGTCTTATCCTGTTGATATTTTAACTACAATCATGGTTTTGTATTTCTTAGGTACCACACGGGTCCTCATCGTCTGAGTGAAGCAATGAGGTCGTCTCTAAGCGTCGACCCAGTCAACCCTGTCCTGTGGGAGCCCCACCTTACTGCCTTGGATCGAAGGCTCAATATTATTCTCCAGGTTATACGGGAGTGTGTAGAAAAGGCTCAAGATCCTTTACATGTTATTGTTAATGATTTTCATTAAAGGAGCGAGATGCTCCTTGTTTGGGAAACACGAGATAAAAAGACTCGCAGACGTGTACGGGATCAAGGACCACTACCCGTCAAACTCTGGTCTCGTTCGTGAGCCATTTATAAATAAGTGATATTCCCAAGTTGAAAATTACTGTAATATTTATATATGAAATTAATGTGTGAATAATGGACATTAAGCTGTGAGGGCACAGCTGTCTGTTAGTATATTTATGTTGAGTGTCTGTGAAGGAGAAACAGAAATTGTCCAATACTTCACTATGGTACATTGTGTGAGCTTGGGTGACGGGTTCTGCAATTGGATTTGCACAGTATTTGTTACACTTCTGTTGATCATCACTCAAAATAGTTTTGAAACTTTAAAAATGTGTTTGAGGCACGCCATTTTGGAAATGTCAGAAACCGCCAATAAATTTAATGGGTGTTACTATATTAGTACAGTACCTGTGACTGGTTTCGGGAGTTCTGCTGCTCTTGAGGCTTGGCCTGAGCCCGGACTGGTTGCTAAAATACGTGTGGTGCTAAAATCAAGGGAATGGAATGTTGTGGTCAGACCCGGCAGCACTGAGGAGAATTGAAAACTCTTCAGTGGAGGATAAGAAATTGATTATACTCATAAGAGAAGCATTTAATTTTAGGGTTCATACAGCGCATGGGGTGAATGGGAAGCAGTTAGGTTTGATCCAAGGGAAGAGGGAGGGCAGCTCCGGTTCCTTGAATCAAGAGCACCTTCAACATCATGAAGAAATCGAAAGAACCAGGTGTTCCTTCACCCTCACGCGATCGACCAATATTTTGTTTTTATTTACTCGATTCATTACAGCTAATTTTTGCTTAAACATTTGACTAGGAATATTTAAAAAAAAATAAAGAAACTAGATTGAAATATTTATATATTAAACTGTACATCAAGTTCTTGTTTCGTGTATTATATATATATATAATTTTGCCTAAATTAAGTGTATGGATAGATATGTTCGTGTGAAGTGGCATAACAAACACATTGGGAACTGGACAGTAAAAACTTAGTGACCAGATTGAACTCTGCTATAATTACCATTCAGTTGTAGCTTAATTTTACCCATTCCAAAGCCGCCATAAATTTAATTGGCGTTATTGAATTTCAGTGAAAAATACTAAAGTGATATTTAGCCTTTGCAGTTATTTCAACTATAAATTTACACTTTTGGCAAAGCAGTTATTGGTTTATGGCTAAGATCACAGGTTCTTCACATGACACACGTCACACACTATGAACTCGATGATATAAACAAATAAAATCTCCATATCTTCACAGTTTTCTGTTGTGTTGCAAGATTACAGTGTTATCTGCATTTCTGGTACTTTACATTGAGGAAAATGATACCGAGTAATGAACGTTATAAAGGTCATTTAAAAAAAATTATCAGACCTTTGTATTAAATCTCAAAATTCGATTCCTCTACCCTGTGTGGCTGCTTTCATGGTCTTGATATGTTTACTTAACACCCATCACGTAGGAGGGTTTTCGTGGCGTGGGATATTCGTTGTTCTCAAAATGAGAGCAGTAAATGGAATTTTCTCAAAGTTTATATTAAATTATTGTTCATTATTAACAGGGACATGCAGCGTTATTGAAAATTTTATGAAAGTTTCTCAGATATTTTATGATTAATATTTGTTTGTGTTCACTCTGAGAAGTTTGATAAATGCATAAAATTTATATATAATTATATATATATATATATATATATATATATATATATATTTTATATTATATATATATGTGTGTGTGTGTAATGTTGGTGTAATAAAATGTACTTAACAGTGGTCAAAGAGAAGAAAACCCACACGAGACAAACCAGGAAGGATGATAGTCCGTGTATTTCGACCTTTAGCTGAGGTCGAAAGTCACAGCAGCAGATATCTGATAAAGAGACCATCAGCAGAGAGGCCGATATTCAGACCACCATTCTTCCTCATTTTTCTCACGTCGGGGATTTCTTCTCTCACTGACCAGTGTTCATTACATTCTGTTGCGCCAGCACATGATGTATATTTCCTCTAATTTCATAATTACACAAAATTTTAAAATTGAAGTTTATACTTATTAGATAATATTGGTTGTGCATTGTAAGAGTCACCAGGAATCATTTTTTTCCCTCCATGCTAATTTCAACTCATCAGTGATGTCAACACGAAAAACTTATTGCTCAAGAGGAATGATAAATTTGGTTTGACAAAGCATAAACCCAAAATATAAAATTATATTCTCAGCTTCCCAAACTTTTTTTAAATAGTGTGTGAAATTCACTTTTTAACATATACACTGTGAAGCAAATGCGGTACTTAAAGCAAAACAATTCATTGTTTAGACTGACAACCAAGAATTTGTACATTTGATTAAGACAATTATTGATGGAGTCTCTAATCAGAGATGTTATAATTAAACCGAACTTGCAACATTGCTCATAGTGGAGATATATTACTGGATTTATTGGAAATACATTACTTTTTAACCTTAAAAAAAAAAGTCGCTGAAAAGGGCTAAGTATTGTAGCAAGAAAGAAGAAACTATTTAAAAGAATTAATTATTTTAACAAAAAAACTGAAGTAAAGTCTGCAGGTTATTTAAGGCAGATAAGTAACACAGAAAATTACTAGTCGAATGTGTGTGAATATTACAACTGTTTTGCCAAGACTTGCATTGGCACTCTGCTAATGCATTAATACTATGCTCATGCATTGGCAATGCTCACATGTATTGACTTTGCTCATGCAGTGGCACTGTGTTCATGCAATAAGATGTATGTTACACACTCACTGGTTATTTATTTGCACAAATGTTTATTACCCATGTAAATTTTGTCGTATTTTTAACTAATACCAAGACTTTAAAATTATTACCAGAAATCTCTTTTATACGCTCACACAGCTTCATGCTGAAGGAGGAGGGGGGGGGGGTGTACATATGCAGGCCCATGAACAATCCTTTTCGCATGGTTTATTTATATATGTTAACCATGATCATGAGTTCACTGATAGTTTTTTTGAAAAAAAAAATATACATAAAACATTTTTTTGTGTTTCACAGTACAGGACTCTAGTAATGCACCACATGTGCATCCTAGTAAATTCAGTTTTGGACCCGCTTGCAAGACAGGAACACTGTTCAGGTTCTTTCATATGGTAATCTTCACTGTCTGGTGGCATCTGCCCTATAATATTTGAAGTGGTTTTAGGGATATTAGGCGTTGTGGGCTTTAGGGTGAACTCAACATTTGAACTTTGGTGAAGAATGCCTTAAAAAATTATTTGCATGTAAAAAAAATATTTTTTTTTCCGTTTTTTCATAAACATTATTGTTTAATGGCATTTCTTCACCATACTTAGATGGTGAATTCCTTCTATAACACTTTGCTGCTTCCTGATAAAGAAATCACCAATCTACTCCCCACATGCCTTGTATTATATTACTTCTCATAAAACATTCCACCATCATTCCTTTTTATCCAGGTAATGAATATTTATATAGTATATGTAAGTTTTGTAATTTAAAGTTGTGTTGAAATGTTAAGATTATACAAAATTTACAAGTCTATTTACTTTAAGTAAAGTTGAACAAAAGTGGGAAATTATGCATTTTGGTGCACCAGAAATAAAGGACCACGAGTCGAAGTGAAAGTCAACATCTGAACTGTTATAGCGACAGCCTGCAACACTGTTTATCTTAAAAATATGTAAACAAAATTAACTTTTTTTTTTTTTTTGCATTATCAGTAATCATTTAATGATGTATATATATATATTTTTTTTGGCGATGTTCAGATGTTGACATCTTCACTTGGTATTGTAACGTCTTAAAGTTAATAAAAATCTCGCACGGAAAAGGTTTTATACTAATTGTTAGTTATTGGCAGTTAGTGTTAATTATAACATTGTTGAGATTGGTATCACTGTTGATTACCGAAAGCAGAAAGGAATAACATTTATGGTAATGGAAGACTGGAGGAAGTTGTTGGTTATGGGGAACACAATGACAAGCAAAACACCATAAATGTATCAGCAATTCATTTATATGGATGGGTTATATTTTCTTTATATCACACTTACTCCCAGTTTATACGTGTGTACTTGTGTGTGTGTGTGTGTGGAGGAATATTGCCCATGGTTACACGTGAGGAGTCACGTTAAAAGTACCCATTGTATTCACAATTGTCCAGATGTGTAAACAATTTTTTTTTAAAGTTGCGGTGCATTCATTTTTAATTTCATAAGCATTTAGCGTGGGCATCAAATGAAGAAATATCTGCATCTCATAGTAGCTATCACGACAGAGATTATTTAACACTTCAGGCATATATAATGAGTGTTTCATGTATATCTCAGTGAGGCATATTTTCATATTTAGTTTGTACAT